GTCCAGGATCCACTTATCCAGGATCCAGGATCCACAGCATGATCCAGGATCCACTGAGCCAGGATTGTCCAGGATCCACAGGATGATCCAGGATCCTCTGATCCAGGATGACCCGGGATCCTCTGATCCCATAAGATCTGAGATCCACCGATCCAGGATGACCCAGGATCCTCTGATCCAATAAGATCTGAGATCCACTGATCCTTGGTGACCCAAGATCCTCTGATCCAGGAAGGTCCAGGATCTGCTGATCCAGGATGATCCCAGATCCCTTCCCACCCTCTCCCACCGGGGTCCCACGGTGCCAGACCACGTCCTGTCCCCACATCTCCACCTCCCACCTGGAGCATCCCAAAATTCACCAGGAAAGGGGATGGGGTGGCACAAAGGTCCTTAACCCTGGCGCTGGGGGGTTTCCTGGATTTTTGGGTCCTGCCGTGGGAGGAGATGGAATTTTCCCCTTTTTTCCATTACCAGGAAATGCTCAGAAGTATCCTGGTGAAATCTGGGAGATTCCCTCCCTCCTTTTTCCCTCCCTTGTAGGGAAAGGCCCCTGGCAGAGGTGGAGCCACCAACAATTCCAGGGAACGTTTTCCTTCCCGCTGCTCCGAATTAACACCTGGGAATGCCCGTGCCAGGATCTGCCAGAACCCAGCAGGGATAAAGGGCTTCAAAAAGGGGATTTGGAGGAATTCATGGAATAGAAACCATCCAGGAATCTCTGCCATATCCCATGGATATTCCCTAAATCCTTCATCCTACACAAACCCCACATCACCTGCTTGAGCCATCCCGTGAAATCTCCACATCTCCAGAATCCTGGAGTGGTTTGGGTGGAAAAGGGACCTTAAATCCCAACCAGTTCCATGGGCAGAGACAATTCCCACTGTCCCAGGTGGATCCAAGCCCAGTGTCCAACCTGGCCTTGGGATCCAGGGGCAGCCCCAGCAAATCTGGGAATTCCAGCCCAGCCCCTCCCCACCCTCCCAGGGAGGAATTTTTGGATAGAAACCAATTAAAATCCCCCCAAGATTTGGGCAAAACTTGGTTTCTGCTCAGGACAATGAGGAAAGGTGGAATCCAATGCTCATCCAGGGATTTTCTTCTCCTTGGATCCCCCATAACCTGGGTGTTCCAGCAGCCAGGTGTCCGAAGGGGATGTGGAATTTTATCCTTTATGGGATTTAGGGGTCAGTTTTCCCCAGGGGCGCACAGAGCCAGGCGAGGCGTTAATGAAACAGTTAAATGCTGTATTTGTTTAATTGGAATTACACCAGGATAAATGTCCAACATGCTAATTTCTAACAGAATTGAACCTGTAAACCATGCAGACCTTTCTCCAACCATTCCAGCTCTTTTTTCTCATGGAATCAGTAGCTCTGCTAGCGAGTTTTAAGGAAAAAAAAAAATCAAAACAAACAACAAAATTCCCTTTAAAGTTAAACCTAATTTGCTAAATTTTCCCCTTATTGTGCAACGACTTGTGCAAAAAAAGCTGTTTTCACCACCTCGATTCCCAAAATCAGGTCCTTCCACCCCAAAATCAATGGGAAAAGGCAACCCCGGCGGGCAGGGAGGGATGTGGGATGGGAGTGTGGGGGGTTTTCCTGGCAAAATCTGAGGGATGAGCCAAGGCAGGGAGCAGCTTGGATTGGACAGGATTCCAGAGCTTCCCAAGGAATTTTCAGGAAGCTGCAGGTGGGGATGGATCCCAGCTCTGGGAAAAGCTTCCCAAATCCAGCCCTGGGGGCGAGGGAGGGGCTGGAGATCGGAGCAGCAACTTTGGGGTGATGCAAGGCCCCCCCCTGAGCTCCCCCTCTCCATCCCGGCGTTTTTGGGGTGAATCCCAGCCAATCCCGGTGTGTTCGGGTCGCTTCCCTCCATCCCGGCGTTTTTGGGGTGAATCCCAGCCAATCCCGGTGTGTTCGGGTCGCTTCCCTCCATCCCGGCGTTTTTGGGGTGAATCCCAGCCAATCCCGGTGTGTTCGGGTCGCTTCCCGCTGATCCACGGCGTTCCCAGAGGACAGCAGAGCTGGGATCATCCCGGACTCATTTGGGATGGGGTTTATGGGATTTGTGTTCCCTTGGAGCTGCCAGCAGTGGGATAAATTATGGAATCGTGCCGGGGGGGGGATACGAGGGGTCTCCAGCCCTGTGGAGCTGTAGGAAAAATGGGACAGAGATCCCAAAAATCCTGGGACATGAATCCAGCCGGAGCGTGGGACGGTGTTTGGATGCTCCAAACCCCTCCAAGGCCCTAAAAAGCACCAAACCCAACCCAGAACTAACGGGAAAAGCCTTGGGAGACACCCAAGGGTGAGGAATCTCTGCCTAGGATTTGGATTCTGGCTGGAATTTGATCCCAAAATTTCGGCACGAGGGCAGCGATGCCCCCGGAGCAGCCCCAGCTCCATCCCAGCCTCGCTTCCAAGGAATCTGGGGCCACCACGACCATTCCCACAGCTCCTGCCCGAAATTCCACCTTCCCCAAAGCCGCCAATCCCAAAACAGCATCATCCCAATTTTTCCTGTCCCCATCCAAGCGGGAGCTGGGATTGGATCTGGAACAAAGTGCAAAAATCACTGGGAGCATCTGGCTTGAGCTCCAGAACTCCAGCCCCAGGAATACCCAAAAAATCCCAGGAAAACCCCTCCTTTCCCACCTCCCAGGTGCTGATGGCTCAGGGAGAACATCCTATGGATGGGTTGGGCTGCACATTCCCACTCTGGACACCTTTTATGGGATTATTCCCAACTCCTGGAATGCCTGACAACTCCTGAAGAAGGAGAGAAGCTTCTTAGGAAGCCAAATTTGGGTTTTAATATAATTTTTCCCACTGGTGCTGGAATATATTTGCTGGAGCTGCGAAAAATTATGGGATAATCCAATTTCCTTTTGTTAAAAAAATAAAATCCACTAAGGAATGTTCAGTGGATGTGGAGGGAGGTGTGAGAGCAGCATTATTTATTCTTGGAAGATGGAAATCTTGGATTTGGGTCCTGACCCCTTTCCCACCCCCTTTTAAATTCCCTGCAGTGACTTTTCCCTCCTAAGCAATTCCATCCGTGTCGGAGGACACCCATCATTAGGAAGAGACTGAGAGGGGATTTGGGATGTCTTCCAGGGGTGGTTTTTTGGGGGGGGGCAATCTGTTTAAAAGATTAATTTTGTTTGGAAGTGATGGAACATCTCTTGGAACAAAAAGTTAATTGGGACCAGAGTCCCAAAATCCCATTTTTCATCCCGGGCTCTGACTTGCGGTTCCGGCTCTTGACCTCCTGAGATCAGGAACTCCCAGAATCTCTCCCCTGGCCGGATTTGACTTTCCCAGCAGCAAATCCTGAGTGCCAGGAGCCAGTCTGGAGGATCCCAATCCTGGTTTTTCCAAAAGGAGCCTGAAGGAGCGGGAATGCCCATCCCAGGTCGCCGCTCCTGGAATTACAGCTCAGGGAGATGGGAAGGAGAGCCCAGCGTGGATTTGGGAAGGGTGGGAGCTGCCTGGGAAACGAGACCTTGCCTCGGCTGTGCTGGGGATTTTTTGTGGGAATACCTCGTGGAGTGAATTATAGGAGAGAAAAATGGAATTTCAGGATGGCAGCACAAAATCCCTTCCCCGTGTCCCGGAGTTTCTGCTCCTTGTCCATCCCACTCAGAATTCCCATCCCTGGTCCCTCTCTGGGTCACTTCCAGAGGTGTCTCCAATGCCGATCCCTTTCTGGCCACGCTGACTCCAACCTTCCTTCACCTGCTGCTTTTCCCGTCATTCCTCTTCCATGTCCCTCCAGGAGGAGCTCACAAGGAACCCCTGATCCCTCTCCAAACCCAAGGAATTACAAAATTTCCCTCTTATTGATGAAAACAGCCCCTTGGTCCCTGTAGCTGGAGATGGCTGGGAGAGCCCAAGAGCTCCAGGGGGTCATTCCTGACTGAGTTCCCGTTTCATTTCGGGATTGAGCCAAAGGAAACTCCTCCAAATGAAAACCAAGCCCAAAATATTGCTGAGGAGCAAGGCGGGAAGGCAAAACCTCTGGATTAGTGCATCCAGAGGGTTGGGAATGGGCACAGGAGCAGCAGTTCAGGGCTGCAACAACCACCAGGGAGATCGGAATTCCCTTCGCGGGTTTGGGAATGTGGCTGGACAACGTGAGGAATTAGAGGCAAAAGGGTGACAAGATGAGAAGGGTGAAAATTCCCATCCGGAACTGGAATCCTGGGATTAAATCCTGCTGGTGGCCACCTGGTTTGAGCAGAGGATTTCCGGGGGCCTTGGGAACAGGGGGAATTTTATCCACAGGCACTTTGGAGCAGCACGACTCCATGGGGGATCTCCTGCTGTTCCAGGAGATTCCTGCTGGTCCAGCTCCAAAACTTCCTAGGGAAGTTTTCCCCATGGAACCACCAGGAGGAGAGGGAAGATGGGACACCAGCAGGGAAAAGAGAGGGAAAAACCCTTCCTGGACACCGGGAGATCCCGGTGTCCCTTCCCACTCCCCATCCATGGAAAAACCCTTCCTGGACACTGGGAGATCCCGGTGTCCCTTCCCACTCCCCATCCATGGAAAAACCCTTCCTGGACACCAGGAGATCCCGGTGTCCCTTCCCACTCCCCATCCATGGATGTCTCCAGCAGCATCCCAGCCCTGGAGCGCTGCCACAGGACACATTCCCAAATTATCCTTCAGCTGTCCCTTCCCAAATCTAATCCAGGTGGACACTCCAAACCCTTCTCCGTAGTCCCACAGCCCCTGGCAGGTCCCGGAGTGGAGCTCAGGGATGGGAAAGGGTCGCAATTCCAGGGATTTGCAGTCTAATGTGGGAATCAGCTCATGGAGGGGAAAAGAGGAGAAAAAAACCCTGGGAAATCCCTTTTTCCTGCCTAAATCCAAACCACAGGACACACCCAGGGTGACCCTCCTCCTCTTCCCAGAGAACCCACGGCTCTTCCCAGATTTCTCAGTTGTCCAAGGGAATAAATTAACAAAAGGAAGGCAGGATGATCCCTTCAATTTGGCTTTGACAAAAAAAAAAACCCAAAAAACAACAAAGCAAACAACCCAATCCGGGTGTGAACTTCTCCCAGGCTCCAAGAATTCCCATCGCTTCCTAAACCCCTGAAAATAGGAGTTTCTCCAGGAGACTCCTGCCACCACCTCTTTTCCCGGGATTGTTCCGCCGGGAGGGTTTTGCCGCCGGGGGGAGGCTCCGCGGAGACTTTCCAGGCGAATAAAAAAATACAAATCTTCTCTCCCAACGAGATTCCCGAAGTCCCGGCTGCGGGAAGGGGATCCCGAGCCCCTCAGGAGTGGTGGCTGTTGATGAGGCCGCGCAGCTGCTTGGCCACGGTGTCGATCAACTTCTGCTTGTCCCGCTCGTTTTTCCGGAATTGGGCGAAAACGTTGTTTTTCCTGCTGGTGTCCCGCATCCTGCACGGAGCACAGACAGGTGATGGAACAGGGATTGGGAATGTCCACTGGTCTGAGAGGAGAACATGGAATTTCAAGCCTCTACACCAATTTTTGGGGCATTTTTCAGGCTTAAAACCCTC